GACATAGGTTAGTAAACCAAGGTGTGGCTGGGTTATAGCTCAGCAAGTTCGATCCTCAAATAAGAAGTCACCATGCGTAAGGAGAATCTCTATATTGAGGCAAATGCGACCCACACAGTAAAGAAAAATGTCATCGTTGCCGTACCGTTAGACATCTGTTCGTTAAAGGCTGGAAGAGAAAAGATATATAAAAGCAGAGGGAATTGAGGGGATTTCTCAGAACAAAGTTAGCCCTGCCAACAGGAGGTTCAAAATTAGACTGACAGATGAAAGACTGCTCTAGAAACCGACCAAGACTTCGCTCAGAGAGTGCACCAAGATTTGTAGAACACTGACGATGGAATTCATGGAAGAAAGGTCAGGAATGGCCTACGATTTCTCGACCTCTTGGAGACACGACGGCAGAAGGAGATGAATACCTTCTAGAAAGGCAGTAAGTAGATATGGCTATGAAGAGAAAATGGAGCGAAGAACATTTGAGAAGCCGACCACAGAGTCAGCAAAAGTTGTCTCCCACATTGCGAAGTCATCATGATTTGGCATACTATGCACCCAACCGAACATCAAGAGTAACTTGAAGATCATCAAAAACTACACTTCCATAAGCACAGTCGACGATGAGTACGTGGAAGAATTGCATAAAGAACTGGAATAGTCATTGGTCTTGAAATCCACCCATACTGTAGGGGGGGGGGCACTTCAAATCCAAGGTCGAATGAGGAAAGTCCGGTGAAAAGTTCGTCAACTTGGTACGACGCCGGACAGAGAAATAAAGTATGGCATCAGCTGGCGACCATGGCTGAAACGAAACACCATTAATATGAAAACACACGGTTCAAGGAGAAGACCAACAGGCAATGAACATGAACCACTCCCTACACGGCGACAGAGAGGGAGATCGACTTCGTCCTGTTCGACAAACTCCGTTTCTAGACAAAACAGTCGTACTATCATTTTGAATCAGTAATGATTACAAATTAGTGTAAGCCAGGCAAAGCTTTCAGGAGAAGGTCGAGAGGAATGTACCTCAAATGACAAATCGCAGACAACGACCAAATGTATTCTACGAGGTGGTACTCTAAGCGCGCATTTCCAGCCAATACTGGAGCCTGAAAGGCAACTGCGACTACTACTACTGGAGTTGCTGAGGCGCCGCGTAAAGTCAGCTGATGTCGTAGCACCAAACGGAGAGAGAGGAAAGATTACAGAAAAAACAGAGTTTGCTAGAGAGGCAGAGAGGGATTAAGAAAAATGGAACTTA